ATTCCTGCAGATCACCTCATGGACTATATGTGTGTGAGCAAGATACAAATGAGCTGATTTTGACTTTATGCCCCACTTAAACTTCTGTAACTCCATCTTTACAGTGGACTTACCCTTGATATCACATAGGTGCCAGTGAGCAGGGCTCAGACACACAGTATTCCTCTGCTTCCATACATATAGACCACTACTTTCTAAATCTGGATGAGACACTATTGTGCCGGCAAAACATTGTCCTCCTCCTTTTTATGGAGGGGGCTGCCATGCTTCCTGAACACAAATGGTTTGGGACAATAGATAGAGAGCTGCTTCTGGATATGGGAGTGATCCATAAGGGGATATGTTTACACATGCAATTAATGTGCCTGAATTTTCTGTGCAGAAAATTCAGGCTCATTAAAGTGCTTCCTGGTACACATCTATATGTGCCCCACATTGGGAGCAAATTGAGTCCAACTGGAACAGACCAGTCCAGGGCTGCTCCTGCCCTGCTCCACCTCCCTGCAGCAGCCAGGGGGTGCTCCAGGCTCCCTGGGCTGGCAGAGGGCATGGGGCCTAAGCCCCGAGTTCTGGAGGGTTGGGGGGTAGCAGTCCCAGCTTGGCGGAGAGCTCTGTCCCAGGGTGGGGGAGATCAAGCTAGCACTGAGGTGGGAAGGGGAGCTGTTTCAGATGCCAGACAAGTCCGGACCTCCACGTGGCTAGGAGACAGCTCTCCCAGCCACGTGGAGATAAGGATGGGTTCAATCTCCATGTGGCTCGGAGGCACACCTTGCTGAGCCAGAACAGCTTTCCCTGCCCCCTGCAGCCCTCTGCTGTCTAGGCTGACCGGGAGCAATTTGCTTCCAGTTAGTGTCTACATGTGCAGTACTGTGCTTTAGTTAATGTGCCATTTTCCCAGTACCTGTATCCACAGGTACTAGAAAACAGCACATTAGACTAATACACTATACCAGAGATGGGGAACCTCTGGGCCGCTGACCGGATGCAGTTGGCCGGGGACTCCATTTCCCAGGCCCCTCTGCCCCCATGGCTTGTACCAGTTTCCATGGAGACCTGAGCCCCAGCCACGCGGCAGCGCATGCTGCAGAGCAGCACAGGGGGATGCTCCGGAGCTGTTGGGATTTTGCAGCAGGGGCAGCTTGCTCTGGAGCCAGGGCAGAGCCATGATCTGTAGCCTGCATGCTCTGGGCAGGGGCATGTATGCAGGGGATCATGGTTCTGCCCCAGCTCCAGACAGGCTGTCACTTCTGCAAGGAGCTGGGGCAGACCCATGATTCCTTGCATGTGTGCCCCGGCCTGGAGCATGCAGGCTACAGATCATGGCTCTGCCCTGGTTCTGGAGCAAGCTGCCCCTGCCACAAGATCCCAGCAGCTCCGGAGCAGCCCCCTGCACTGCGTTGCCATGCACACTGCTGGTATGGCTGAGGCTGGGGTCTCCTAGGAGATTGGTACAAGCCATGTGGGCAGGGGCACCTGGGAAATGGAGTCCCTGGCCGACCGCATGCGACCTGCAGGCTGAACGTTCCCCATCCTTGTACTATACAGTAATTTCTGCTCATGTCTTATTAGATTAGTCTAATGCACAGTAAAGCATCTCATATAGATGCAATCAAGGAGTGCCAGAGATTTGATCAGAGACCTGCCCTGCCCCCTCAACTGCTGATAGAGTTGGGAAGTAGTATGACATGATGCACCTTTTCTGCCCCTGAAGGCAACTCTCCAGCCACAACCTTTTGTGCACATCATCCTCACACTACTATTCCAATGCAGCTATACATCCAGGCACCTTAATTGTTTCCTTGGGATAAGACCGTCTAGGTTCTGCACAGATATACAAAGCTGGGGGGGGGTGGTATAAGTATATATTGCGTCCAGATCCGCAAGAAGATTGGGGAATAGACAGAATCTAGGTCCCAGCCCACCAGCACTGATAAGCAGAGCTGGGTAAATGGGCAGTGAGACCATGCTCTTCCTACAGTGTATGGAGCTGCTGTTCATGGAAGTGTGTGTGTGTTGTGTATTCCAAGAGCCCCCTAGAAGGAATTTCTCCATAATATATATGGAAATAATCAATGGAGAGAGGCCTTGCTACATTTCCTGTTACCATTCAGAAACTGATCAAATAAGTACAATAAATACTGCAAAGTGGCCAACACCTGTCACTGTTACATATACATATTTATTAATCAAAACACATAATAAAGGTATAATGATATCTTTTGTGGTGATAAGCTCCTGGTCAACTCCTGGCCTTGAAGCATCTAAAAGTGAGCTCTATCATCAGCTTTGGCTGATTCAGAAAAGGCTGTGAAGAATTCTTCAGCTCAAGGGACATCTTACTTACCTTGATCACAGAAACTTTTTCTGCTAGGACAATGACAGGGAGAACAACCAAGCCAACCACAGAACTGCTTTTTGAATTGAGTGCTATGAAGTATTCACACAGAGCCAGCTTCTGATTTATGGATTGTGGCTGAGAGGTGCCTCATACTATGAACTGATTTGATTTCAATTTATATTACATACATTACCTTCAATGGGACTACTCACAGAATGAGGTACTACTCACCCTGTGAAGGGTATTGGAATATGGCCAATCAGTGCTCTTGGCACTCATATATATCACTTTCTGCACTCCCTTGACCTGAAGAATGAGGGAGATATCGATATTCTTCACCAGCGCCTCACTGAATGGCATGTTCTTGAATCAAAATCAAAATAGAAGTCTTTCTATATTCAGAAATATGCATCAACCTTTCATTACGGGATAAGCAAATACTTGGCCATGTAGAAAACTTGGGTTTAGATTGGAAAGTGCTCTTTAGAGCCAAATCCTGTGTACCTTTTTCACTCAAGCTGTCCACTGAAGTCACTGATCTACTCGAGGGATCAAAGCAGTAGGTTCTGGCTCTTAGATTTTGTAATGGCTCATCACATATTTATGCCAGAAACTAGACAGATGCTATTACTCATTTTTAGAATGGTCTCTCTTATTACATTTCTCAGGCAGTTACAAACACTAGGCCAGGAGTAACAGTAAAAGCTAGAATATTCTGGGATCTCTCTCACACAAGACACTTTCTAGCTCCCTTAAAAGGAACCATTTGTCCTTCTACTTTCTACACAAGTTACTGCATTTCCTCACATATCACATGCCCCCCAAATAAAATATGCACCTTGCTTTTGAAAAGCAGAATGCAGAAAAAAGGTTTTTTTCCCCAAGTCATGGCCAGCTCTGTGACATGGGGTAAGTCCTCCTGGAAACACAGAAGTGTGGCACCCCAGGAGACAACCTGTGTGAGGCAGCAGGAACTTCCTGGCATGGCAGGATGGCAACAAGGCTATGGCCCAGACCTTTGCAAGGGCAGTGGCAAGACTGTTACTTCATTACTATACATAGTTCCTTATGTAAGCTCCTGTACATAATCAAGTGCTGTTTTCACACCATACCTCATCAGGATATTACAGATTGCATATAGCAGCTCACTCACCCTCGGCCAGCTGAGTGGCTTTTTAGCCAAAAGCTATTGCCTCACTAGCAGCAGTCAGAGGCCTAGCAAACTGCTTGCTGCCCCATGGAGAAGTGGCAGCTGTTCTGGCAGCCATTTAACAGAGTGTCTCTTACATTGCTTCTATTCCATTGAAAACAAATCAGCTTCTCTTCTTAAGACCCCAATTTTGGAAGGCTGATTTTGTGGTACATGTAGTATGTGAGCGTATACAAATAAAAGACAATGAAAAGAAAGAAGTAAGCTTCTATTAGGTAGATTTTTTTAGCAGTTAAATTTACATAGGACCTGATTCTGTCAGGGATTGAGTGCTCTCAGGAGGAGTTGTTAGGTATGAATATCATCCTACATTATACTTTACTCGGGGGTAAGCTTTAGAATTGGATATTGTTCTCAGACCATCTCTTCAAACAGAGCAATCACTCTATTTGCTTCCTTATTTTAAAAGACAGCTCAACTACTAGTGTGTAAATAAGCAAGGCAGATTGTTGGCCTTTAAAAAGAAAACTATTGTTAACAGCTGCTTCTGAGCATGTATGTTTTATCATCATATTGTTGCTTATGAGTGGTTCCCCAAGATTTCATCAAGGTTGATATCTTTCATCCAGTCATCATTGCCAGGCTCTGTTTTCAATAAAGAATCTATAAAGTCTGAATCACTATTGAGTGCAGGTCCTATGTTGTCACCTTGCTGGTTAAGAAAGTCAAATGATAAGTCGCTAGTAGGATCATTTCCTTGGTAAGCCCTTGAGTTTTGGTTGGTTGATGTAAAACTGGTGGATGGCAGGGATGATGGTGGGGTCATACTTGCTCCTGGCTGATTCAAATTAGGCACAGTCTGTCCTCTTAGCTGGTTAGGTCTCACGCTTAGACCTCTTAGTGATCCAGCAGTTTGTCCATTTAATGTTTGGTGTGCTTGGTTTAGAGGTGGTCTCATTTGCACTGCTGCTGTTAGCTGGTTAGGAGGCACCATCGCACGTGGGGAGAAATGCTGGTTGCCTATGGAGCGTTGCAGAGCCTGGTTAGGATATGGTGTGCTTGTGGGGAAACGAACCCCTGCAGGTTTCAGTGTGTCCTGCTGCTTTGTTGTGGCTTCTTGAGAGGCCCAGTTTTGAGCTGTAGTGCTGGAAGTGATCATAACACTTGATGGTCTTTGAGCTGGGAAACTTGTAGCTCCGTGGCTTAAGCTTGGTCTTACCTGCTGAGAGCTGACCACTGACCCAGTCCCAAAAGCTGCTGCATTATTTCCTTGTGTCAGGGTTTGTGGTCGAGACATCATGGGGTTGTTTTGACTTGTTATGATTTGGTTTTGGTTTCTGTGTGGTTGCATTTGGTTCATTCCTGAAGTTATGCTGTACGCACCGGGCTGATTGCAAGGAATGTTTCCATAACAGCTCATGCTCCGAGCTGCAGGAATAGAAGGCATCCTGGTTCCAGGTGGCAAAAGGCTAGAATTTTGGGGCAAAATGGTATGAGTTGAAATGGGGTTTGATAAAGACAGACTGGAGTTCATGCTTACAGCTGGTGAACCACCTAGACAAAGAAAGGGAAAAAAGACATGCATTGAAATTTTTTCATTAAAATATGCAACAGATTATAACTTTAGTTTCTTAGAGCATAATCTCTTTACTGGGGTAAACTAATGTCCTAATGCTTGAGTGGAAGGTAATGATTTTGCCACACCTTGCCTTTCAGAAGCCAGTAGCATCCACAAAGGCAAAAAGCCTTCCTTGCTTCTACAGGCAATGAGCAAAAGTTCGGAAGCAAGGGATTACCACTCTGTCATGGTAACTGCATCCTCTTCTCTTTTCACTCTGGTCACATTCTCCTGACCTTTCATTTGTCTCTACTGAAATGCAGATTGTTTGCATGTACCCAGAATATCAAGTGATCTAGATCTCCATGTTTTGTTGACTTTATCCTCTTCATTATTTACCAGTATCCATGAACGCCACGTGCCCCTGGAGGCTGGGGGGGGGCACGGCAAGCTCCTGCAGCACTGTTGGCAGCAGGAGTGTGGTGGTGGTGAGCGGTGAGTCCCCGCAGGCAGCCTCAGCGCTGTCAGCAGTGGAGGGGTGAGCGCTGACCAGCGGTTGGTGACCACCCGCAGATGGCGCCCGGGGCGGCAGCCAGTGGCGATTGGGGACTGCCTGCAGATGCCGCTGCAGGCAGGCGGACGGAGTGGGGGGTGAGCAGCAACTGCAGACAGGTGCTGCCAGCAGTGTCAGTGGCGCTTTTTGCAGGGGGTGCACTGCCAATCTCAGGGGGTGCACATGCACCTGTGTGCACCCCCTACACATCACCAATGCCACTATCCCACTGTTTTTCATATATAAAATGTATCCACAATGATTTTACATTTTCTTCCAGGTCATTGACAAAAATGTTAAATACATGTGACCAAGGACTAATCTTTGAAGGATCTTACACTTGAAATATAGTCACTTTCTCTTTTTCACAATTACAGACCTATCAGTTAACCAGTTTTTAATCTACATCACGACTGACCCATTGATTTTCCATCATTCTCATTTCTTAGTCAAAATTCTGTGCCATATCAAAATAAACGCCTTAAAGAAATATATTGCAAACTCATCAAAAAAGTTCTCAAGTTAGTTTGATGGGATCTGTTTTAATAAACCCAAGTTCATCAGCATTATATTAGTTCACTTTTACTTTTTATTAATTAAAAGCTTTATCAATTTTTCCATTATTTTGCTTTGGATCAGTTTTAGGGTTATAATTATCTGACTAATTTTGTTCACCTTTGTGAATATTGGTGCTATATTACTCTTCTTCCAGACCTGCAGAACTTCCCAAATGTTCCTAAGACTTATTAAAAATAATTTTAAGATTCAAAAGAGCTCCTCATCCATTTCATTTACAACTCCTGTGTGCAAGTTATTCATCTGGTTATTTAAACTAATTTTCATACCAGTGCTATGACATCCTCCTCAGTTAGTGTTGGAATGGAAAGTAATTCATCATCATGAAATGAATATATCATCTAGCTTCTGTCCCAATATAGAAAAGACATACTGTATTTACTTGAATATAAGATGACACTGAACATAAGACAACCCCTGAATAATTATATTCTATCTATGGTAAATTTATAAATTTGTTATAATTTTTCAGGTATAGAATCTAATTATTGGAGGTTTGCCTTGAATCTGTCCACCTCCCACTGCTAAAGCAGGAAAAATAAATCTGGGGAGGTCAAGTGGCCTCCTTGCCTTCTGGCCTTGCAGCTTCCTTTCCCTATAGACCGCTCCCCCTCTCTTTACTGTCAGACCCTACTCCCCTGAGCATAGACTCAGTACATCCAGAATTAATGCATTTTTCCTTTTTTGAAACTCCTGCAAGTTTTAGCACAAGTACTCCACAAACACACTTTCAAGCAGCACTTTTGTACCTTCTATATAGCAAACTTTTTTTTTGGAAAATTTTTTGTATTCCAGGTCAAATTAGCCAAGTCAGTTCTGAGTCCTCTTGATTGAGCAAACTCACTCATTCAAACACTATATGTGGTGCTACAACCAGCAAGTATCCTCTACCCCAGACTTTTCAGCCTGGGGCTTCAGATACTCCCAAATCCATTGGTGGGCATCCTTCACGCAGGCCTAAGCCCAGAGGCTTGGGGTTTAGATACCCCTGAGTCCCACTTGCCTTTAGCCAATGGCCACAGGAGCAAGCTAGGAAGGAGTCCCCCATTTCCATAAAGTAAGTGTGTAGCTGAGATCCTCCCACTGGAAGCTGGCCACTGGGAAGCTAATTACAAGACTCTCATAGGGTGTCTTGTCTATAGTGCATTGGACAGGGGTGCACCCTCCACTACACAATGCCATTTAAATCCATCTTGGTCTGGCAACAGACCCATGCAGTGACTATACTTGATCTTAGCCCACAAGAGTACCTACTATGTAGCAAACAATGCATGATATTAGTCCAAAGTGAAAGCTTGTGATTTACCATATAGTTCATTGGGCTGGGCCACTGGAAGAGTTAACAGCATTTCTGGCCATGGTGACCCCATAGCTCAGCACTACTCAGAATGTGTGTGTACTCCAGATACCACCTCTCACCACACACAAGGATCCAGTAGCTCCCCACTCATGACTGGAACCAGATGTTCTTGTCAAGAGTCCTGGGATCCTCCAAAAATGTATATGCAGATGAGGAGCAGGACAACCTGGTCCAGCTCTACCGCATGGAGGGCAGGGCCACATGAATCATATGTCACAGGCTGAGACAGAGGGTGACAGAGGGATTCTGGGTTAACTGTTTGTTCCTATTTGCCAGACAGCTGTTAAAGAAACAGGAATAATTAGAAATGGGAAACAGTACACACAATGCACAGTAAAGATGCAATCAAAGCATGGCTCAGCTGTGGGACTGAAGAGGAAATCAAAATATATTCATTGTAGTGGCTCACAATGACTTGAAAAAAGAGTTAGTGCCAAAGGGGACTGAGTGCAATGGGCACTATCATATATGTTATTCAGATGGGCTTCACTAACCTATCCTTGTGAAATGTGGCTTTGCTGTACTTGGAATGGGAGATCCCCTTCTCCCTGATCTGTCATGGCTTTGTGTAGTTGAGCATGGAGACTTCTCCTTTGCACTGTAGGCAGGCCCTTCCACGAGAATCTACTATAGCCTCCCAATGGGAAGATCTCAGCTGCATACTTTATTTTATGGAGGTGGGGCATTTCTCTTAGCTTGCTCTTTTGGGTAAGGGTAAGCGAGACTCAGGGGCATCCGAACCACAAGATCCCTGGGCTTGGGGCTTACATGTAGGATGCCTGCCATGGATTTGGAAGTATCTGAAGCCTCAAGATGAAGTGTCTGGGAGGTAAGATTCTTGCTGGTGGCAACACCATATGGACCCGAACAACTGAGCTCTGCTCAGTGGATGGAATTTGGCCTGAGACAAAATTAAAAATAAGAATGTGGAAAGTTCCCATCAGCATCTTGGCCATTTTGGCTAAGATCAAATGTAGCACCAAGGAGAGGGTGTCAGGGCTGGTTCTGGCCCTTCCGGTGTCAGCCTGGTATTGCAGTACCTCTAGTTCCCTGCAGAGGGAACACCCACTTTTTTTTATTAACAAAAAAAAGTTTCCATCAGAATTTTTGGCACCAGGAGAGGGTATCAGAGCTTTCTCTGACTTCTCTGAGTGCTGACCTGGTATTGCAGTACTTCCAGGCCCAGTGCTCGTTCCCTCCTGAGGGAGCAACTGCCCATTTTTTTAAGGGCCACATGAAGGAAAAAAAAGGGTTCCTATCAATATGCTTACCCTATATAGGTCATATATTTTATAGTCATGCTCAGTGTTGGCTGCATGTAATCAGCTTTAGAGTTGGTTTTCATTACTGCAGCAGTTTAATGATAGACAACGTATTTAATGTGGCTTTTTCCAAATGTAAGATGAGGAACTTTTTTCTACATGCTGATTGGGGAAAAAAATGTCTTATATTTGAGTAAATGCAATATTTCTTGAACATTCCTATTTTGTATTATTATCAACAATTCTACTATTTCTGGTTATAATAAACCAGTGTCATTTTTCTGTTTCCTTTAGTTCTTTATGCACAAAAAATATCCTTCCCTCTGTTGTCCTTAATTCTTAACATGACTCCACAATATAGTTGTATCCAAATCAACAAAAGTGAACTTCCTCAGGACTGGCAGCCCATGGAGTGAGAGGCACTCTGAGAATCCAGCTGGATCTACTGCAGAACAGATGAGGGGATAGACAGACTACTATCAGGGGACCCTGTGACTGCACTGTACTTCTGGAAGCGAAGGAAAAATCAACCTTAAGTTTATAACTTCATATATCAAGCTCCATAGTTGACTGCACTAATAATCTATGTATCATATGCTGTGCATTTGATTGTAATATTTTTCAGTGACACCAACAAAGACCAGGGGTCTAATTCGGCATACTCATGCCAAAGTGAGGAATAACTCAATTGAAATTAACGGAGTTACAAAAGAAAGAAAGGTTGCAAGAGGAGAAGTGGGACCCTGCTATTATTTTAAGTAAAGCGGTCTTAGTATATTTGTAGAATTCCTTCACTCACCCCTGGGATGGAGCCCCTCCATTGGTGGAACAAGCCAACTGTTAAACAGCATAGAGGGCTACCACCCTGATTCTTGTGCAAATGCCATGAGATCTTTAAAGGGCACAAGTGGTCAGGATCTTAATTTTACATCTCATCCAAAAAACCAAGTTTCCCCTTATGTATGACTATATTTATCCTTTTATTTTTACACCAAAATATTTTCCATTCTAATTTCTTCCAGATGCAAAGGAACTTCTTCCATAGCAGTGTTTTGTTGACAACATATCCAGTGCCTAGACACCAAAAGATTTGGAGCTAGTGAGAAATGCATTTATTGCTCAATTCACCTGCTGTTATCATGGAGCTTATTACTATTGTTATAGAGGCAAAAAGCATCGGAAGGCAAGGTTTAATGATGTCTCTCATAGTTCCCATGGCATTTCATTTAACTTCTTGCTGCTCTGAGCTGTTTTCCTTTCTTCCATGACCTGAGCATAGCTATTCCCAGAAACAGGGAACAGATTCCCAGCTGCTGCTCCCTTATGCAACAGTTTCCTAATCAGTCCATCTGGTGTGTTCCCTCCAAGCACAGAGCACAGCTTTCTCCCCGGGTTTGTTCTGAAAAGCAGTCAGTTTCCTTTGTTGATTCAGTTACAGAGAGTGACTTGAATGACAGAACACCATTATTGCCAAGCCCAAATGTTAAAAATTTAGGAGTCAGGCACCAAAGCACCATGAGTTTGTCATAAATTTTAGAAGGTTTACATAAAAAGAGACATAAAATATTTGGGTTTTTTAGCTGCCTCCTGGATTTGATCTTTTTAGGGTGTTTTTGGTTGTATTTCAAAATTTTTCTACAACTATAAAACTTTAAAAAAATTTTTGTTAAAGAAAAGTTGACTGTTTTGGTTAATCACTTGACTCCAGAAATACACCAACCATCTCAGGATTTCAAAACAAATTACAAGAGTTTACCAGAGCTGCTGCTCTTCCTGATACCATTTTAACACAGCAAATTAGATACTATTCTGTCTGGGCCAGCGGTGGCTAACCTTTATGGCAAGTGTGCTACAAGTTAAGTCCACAGTATGAAATAGTACCGCTCTAATAATAAGCCACCATTGTCACCCAGATCCACTGCATCCAGTTGCCACTGGGATGTGGCAACACTGAATTTGGTGGCACCTACCCCCACAGCTCCCATGGGGCCAACCCCGCTCAAGTCAGCACTAACTCCTGACACCTGCTCCCTCCCTGATTGCTGCTTTGATCCTCTCCCCACCACCAACCATTGCTCTGATCCCTGCCTTCTCCCCAGCTGCCACTCCAATCCTGTTCCCAGTTCTCCCCAACTGCTGCACTGATCCCTTCCCAGACCCTGGCGCAGGAATTTACAGCAATGCAAAATGGGAACACAATGCTATCAGAACAGAATGTAAGCATCTTTTCTCTGCTTTGTGCTTGTTTTTGCATTGAAATAAACAGTAACACTCTGGCTACAAACAGACTTCACATTTATCCTGGGATAAACCATTTTATCCTAAGGCAAAGTGCAATCATTCAGACATCCATGTCCATTTTTCCAGGATAAATCCTAAAAAGGATTCATGTGATGAGAAGTACCAACAGTTTATCCTGGGACATTGCAAAATTTGTTTCAACTGTTATCCTAGGAGTGCATTATTCAATCAACAGCATTCAGCTGTTCACTAAGCCCTGATCAGAAGGGTACTATGTGTGTGCCAATCCTGGGAGATTTCTGTTCCAGGACAAACACAGACGCACCTTATCCAGGGACAAATGCAACGTCTGTTCCTATCCCAAAAATCAGGCCCTTACCATCAGGCCTTCAGGGGCATCTTGGATAAACTTCCTCACTGTGGCTTTCTTTTTCATTAAGCCCCACTTACCAGAATACTGGTTGGTCTGTTGCATGTTGACCACATTTCTTCTTTGGTCTTTATAATCTGGTGGTGGCCTTGTCAAATGTCTGTTTAATTGGTCTTGTGCATTGATTTTCTCCTACAGGATTAGAACAGAAATAAAAAATGTATTAATTTGTTTTCTTCATATGTTATCCTGGCAAATCCCCTCTTTCCCCCATGCTGTCCACAGTGGTAGTTTTAAGCCGAGTGTAGCAATTGCTCCTTAGGGACTTTGTTTACTGAAGTGTGTGGGATTTCCATTATTTCAGTGTGCTTGAGTCATGTTCATTCTGCCTCCTCCTCCTGCTTAAAGTCACTGTGAGCTAGATCAGGGCCTTAAAATCTAGCAACATGTTTTTCATCATTTTTGTACCAATAACTCCTAAATAATTTGACTTCAGTTTAAGTTGCCCAAGTAAAACCTGGTTGACTTCAGTATGCCCACTTGGTAACTGTTGGGGATCTTGACCCATTGTTGAAAAGCACTTGTCACAAAACGCCCCCTTTTTATGTGAGAAGAACTTCTCTGTATACATCCAGGAAGATATTACATTGTCCCGCTTCACACCTTTCCCCAAAACTCCTCTCAGCTGTGGGGTCTCCAAAAAATCTGACATGCACTAGGCAGTGTACATCCTATATGCAAACTGTGCGGTGACTATTTTACACACAAACCAGAACTGCTTCACTGTTGCCTTTCATTTTCCTGAATGTTTCAGCTACTACCTGTTATGTTTCCTGTTGTACCTAGATTGCATGCACGTGTATGACAAGAACCTCCTGTAAAAAGGCCGTAACCTTGTTCTTACTTACGTCCTTGTGCCTCTTGGCTGGTTTTTCATTTAACTGAGAAAACTGCTTACAGACCTTTGCTGCTTAAATTGTGTGCTGTGTAATAATAACATTTGCCTCAGGGAACAACGTGAGATTGCAAGCTCCCTGTGGCAGGAGTGTGAGTTTGCAGTGTCAAAAGCTATTGGGTACATCTCCTGACCGAGGCCTTTGGAAACGATGACTCAAAATAATTATAATCTTTTTGAAACAGACAAAAACCCAAGAGAAACAAAGATTTATAGACTAAAGTTAAGACTTGCCTTCAGACCTCTTGCTATTCCTTTGTTCTCAGGGTTAGCCCCATCCACCCTCCTTCTGCCCTGATTGCTCCTCTCTTCACTTCTGGCTGTACCTTGTGCAGCCAGCATTTATACTGAGTCTGGCTCTCCATGCCTATAAGAGGGGATGCAAGCAGGAAAGTGACCTTGGGGGGTGAATAAGCCCAATCTCAAGCTGAGGGAAGGATTTTGTGCTGATCTGATTGCCCATATCTGTGAAGGAGGAAGCAGAGAGGTGTACCACGTTCAGGTACTCAATTCCAAATCAGTCAGCAACTGATGTCACAAAATCCTCATTGAGGGCTGGATCCACCTCTCCTTAACGTCAGGGGTAAAACTCCACATACTGTAATGCTGATGGATCAGCCTCTAATACTCTTCCTGAAGGTTAATATCAAGAATTTATGTTTCCAGTGTGCTGGTCATAAGCTCAAAAGCTCTGAATCCTCTGAGGCAGGTGACTGTCAATGTTTAGCAGGTGTGAGTAAGGACCAGGTCTTTCTTTCTTATTAAGAGAAAGCTTAATAAGCCTAATAATTCCTTGCTAAACCAGGACCATTGATTAACATGCAGTTTTCCCCAGAAGTGTGTGCACTGTCCCGTATCTCCTGGATTCCCACTTCCTCTGCAATGTACTACACCATGTACTTGTGTTTCACACTTGAGAAGACTGTGGGCCTCTGATCTGAAGTAGGCAAATTAGGAGCATCCTCTGCCAAAAAAAAATGCTTGGAAAATAAGTCTCAAAACCTGGGCCCCTTAGTTAAATGCTCCCTTTCTGAAAAGCTTTAAGTATCACCTCCTTCCCCCTGTCCCCAACAGATACATGCCAAAAACCAGAAGCTCAATTGTGACGCTCTCCCTGAGTTGTCAAAATGCCTTTAACCTCACAGAGGAGGAATCTGCTCACATCGGCAATCCTAACCACCACGACTGCATGCCACTTGGTCTGAAGGTTCACGGGGCCTGTGCTTGGGTGGTCCTTGAAGGCTCCCAGCATCTCCTAGGGAGGGGTGCTGAACACATTCATGTCCAAACAATTCTGCTAGTCTCCAGCTTGCTTTCACTGTGAACTGACAGGCAAAATTGGTCCAAACACTCTCCATTTCTGGAGGGGTTTGGGGTAAGGTGGGCCCTAGAGGGTGGGCAGCTGAGTGAGGAAGGTGGCAAGTAGTTATGAGCACATCTTAAAAGGTTTCAATATATGAAAACGGGGTGTTGGGGGAGATATGGCTTTCATTTACACTAAAGTCCCACTGTTGCCAAACTCTTTCACTGTGAATGGGTCATAAAGTGGATGTGAATTAAAACTATATTAATTTTAAAATCCTTTTAAATTGCCAGAATTGTGTGATGAGTTCAGCATTAGAGAGACTTGGGTCCTGAATATTTATCTGAAGATGATGAGAGCTATCCTGATCCCTTCTTCTTCTAATCTCACACAAGGTTTCCTTGTGAGAAATGTGGTCATTCTGCTTCCAGGCCTGGTTAGAAACAGCACGAGAATGTTCTTTCTTGCAGTATTTAAACATTTCCCTATTTCCCATTTTGGGAATGTGTAGCCTGATTAAGGTTTATCAGGCTCATTTTAAATTACCACTCAGCCTGAACCATTAAGAAGAAAGAAACCATTTAGCTCTCATAAAAGTTTAGTTTTTCAATAATTAATATACATTTTACCTGAAATTGTTTAAAAAAATAGTAAACTAGAAACAAATGCAAGCTGACTAAAAGAGTACTCACTCTGTTTAATTTGTCTTTAGCTTTAATTTATTTTTCTTTTCAATTAGAACTGTGCAATTAACTGATTTTTTTAGTTTGCTGACAATTTGGAAAAATTAAAAAATAACATTTGGGGGAGATTATTAGCAATTAAAGAAATTTAAAAGCCAACAAGTCAAAGAAATAGTACAATCTGAAAAAAATGTTTCATTTCAAATAAAGCATTTTTACTTTAAAAATGTATCTTTAAATAGAACATTTCTAAACAAAAAGTTAAGTGTTTTGTATTGAAAAGGTCAAAATGAACCATTTTGACTAGTTTAAATTGGTATTATTTATAAATAAATACCATGAAATGTATTTATCATGAAGCATGGTAAATGCTTCATGGTTTATTGGTATTTCATGGTATTGAAAACGTATTTTTCTTGTGGTAAAAAAAATTGCTAAAAAAATATGCCCCAGCTCTAACTGGAGTACTTCTCAGGAAGAAGAGTCTGATTTCTGTTGTCCCATCTGCTGTGCAAAGGGGGGAGACAATAAACAGCAGCAAATATCAGAAAAAATGTGAACAGGAGCAGCAGGAGAGGACTTCTGAATGGCCCGAAGATCTGCACAGCATCTGCTCCAGCAAAGTATTTGAGCACATGGTTATCATTAAACACCTGGTTCTGAAATCAATAGACCTGATTTTCATTGACACTAAATGGCTTTATACTACCCTGCTCCGGCAAACCAGTCTGAAAGTAAATAGAAACCTAACTTATACCCCCTGTTAGTTTCCATACTGCTCTTCCTGACTTTCCTTCCTCTCACCCCTGCAATAAGCCATACCTATCTGCTTCTGTGTCCTAAGTTCCAAACACAGATCTCAGACAGGGAAACCAGTCTGCAGGGACCCCTGGACCACTCTCAAGATTTCTGTCTCTGGTGTGGTTGAGAGCAGCAGTGGGGTGGGCATCCCCAGAACATCCTCACTGCCTCACTTCTAGGTCTGGAGCACAAGGAATGGGTGTTAGTTTGTAGGGTTATTTTTGAGGGTAGGCTCAAGAGCAGAGAAGAACTAGCATGGATATCCCTTCTGTAAATGTAAGAATCAGACTCACCGTGAATCCTCACATGCTCAAAATTAAGCTTGTAAAACTAAAATTAAATAGGTACTTTCCTATTTGGAGATATAACCCGAGGTAAAAGATGAAATTGAGGAAAAGAGAACTCAAACTCAATATCAGGGACAATCTCCTGATGGTGGGATCTGTTAGACTGTTGAATGGTCTCCCAAATTAAGTCATGGAAACTTATATGCTCAATTCACTTAAAATGGGCTGAACAAAGCACTCAGGAATATAATTGAAGGAACAACCCCAAATGTTCATTGTTGGCCAAGATCGCGTAACGGGTCTTTTGCATCGCCATTTTCTATTGTTTTATGAAAATTGTTTTCATATAGAATAGGAATGAGAAAGAAAATTTACCGGTTCTGCCAACATCTGTTGCTGTAGGAGGAGCTGCTTTTGCTCCATCATCTGCCTCTGCAAAACCTGTTTCTTTTCCATCAGTTGCTGATTCAACATTGATTGCTGGGATGAGTTCATGTAACCACTTCCAGTGTTTGGATTTGAACAAGCACTGGAATTTGGACTGGGGCCGGCACCTTGGCCTACCACAGAGTGTTGATCCTGAAAAAGAAATAGCAACTTGTGAATGATAAAAGGAATAAAAATGAAATAAGTGGAACTAAGAAGAAGCAGTAATCATTTTTACTTAGGGAAACTAGCAGCATGTTGTGGAAACTTAAAGGAAAGAACTGAGCTGTACCAGAAATTTTACAGCAAGTACTCTATAGAGACTGGGCACATCTACACGAGACATTTACGTAGTTGCCTAATTAGCTTTGCAGTAAATGTATTAGGCTGCAGGAAACTAATAAATTCTGCAACAGATTAGTGCTTGTAAATACAAGTACTATCCTGCTGCAGAGATTTTTTGTGTGTAGCATGCATGTGTAGATGCTGACCCGACTGGTTGGGGCATGAGGGTGCTTCCATGTGGGGGCTGCCTGCTGGCTGCCTGCTGGCTGGCTTTGCACTGAAACACCTTTGTGCCCCAGCCAGCCTCTCCGCAGCATGTTGAGCTGGGTCAGGGCAGCCCAGCCCAGGGTGCTCCCCTGGACCCGCTGCCAGCTGGGGCTGCTCCAATCTGGCTCAATGTGCTGCGGTCCAGGGATGATGTGTAAACATGGTCCCTGGAAGCAATAAACTATGATGAGATAGGTGCCAGCTTTTATTGCTTTGCCGTAATATGCACGTGTAAATGCACCCATTCAGTACTAGGACTGATAGCTATTGGTCACCTTGTTAGAAAATACAACAGAGGTCAGTTATTACTTCCCAGTGTAATGCCAGGTGCATTTTCACTGGTTCTTTTGTGGTTCCCTACGATCTCTGTGAAACACATCCAGAAATTCTGGAGTGTCTTCAGTAAGCTCCAAGATTTACACAGATCCTTGAAGATGAAATCAATCAGTTCTAACAGAACATCCTAAAGAGGTTTTATTTCCATTTTGGGTTCTATAGATGGCCTTGCTCAGCAAAGCCAAAGTCAAATGTATTGTAGGTATCACTATGTCATGCTAGTGTCTGTCTAATGCCTATTCTCCAAGGCTCCAGGTGCCTGAGGAAAGAGTACTGCCCCGATTCTCAGCCTACTTCCCTGAGAAGGACTTCAGAGACCCTATTCACATGAGTGAAGTTACACACGACTTGAAGTACTTGCAGGCTGAGCTCTATGACAAACCCTTCAGAGAGTGTAGTGGACATAAAAGAGCTGCACTAAAAGAGCAGCCTTCGAGGTGGAATAAGAGGCAAATATGGTGGAAGAAGGGAAAGACGATTCTTCCCTGGCACTAGAAATGGACAGCTTTGAAAGGATATTGTGTTGGGAGGCAGGGACACTCCTTGGTCTCTACCCAACAAGGAACAAACTCCAGGTCTCCCTTCTCCTTCCACACTGGTTTCTCAAGGAAGGGATGTCACAATGACAGCTTGGGAGACTTCAAAGAAATCTCTGAGAAAGTAGAAGCTCATTTAGGGGACAAAGGTTTAGACTGAAACCTTACTGGGGGCGTCTAGTTTATTTTCTTATTATAAACATTAGACAACATACTGAGCAACATATTGCCCTCTGCTTGTTCGCCAAACTAAAGAATATGATAAATAAGTCCCCATGTCAGCACACAACAATCTTTATTCTATAATGCAACACGCCAGAGTCATGTACTCAACAGATGCATAATATAATTCAGACAAGAGCTACTGGGGAATTTGCCAAAGTTACGGGAACAACACTTTCCTGACCTCCAGCCTCCACTGTCACACCTCATTATAGGAACAAAGATATACAACCTGGAGAAGCTCCAGATAATACAATATTCAACAGCCCATCTGTTTCACAGCAAAGCCCTCCATGAACGCATCACCCACTTTTGCGCTGGCTCCCCACAAATAGAATCCAGTTTCAGGGTTTTGTCCACTGCATTGATCTTAGAGATTTAAAAGCCCACTTCTTTCATAACCATGACCTTTCAAGATAGCTACATTCTTCAGAGATAATTAAACTTGACCTACAGGAGAAGCTTGTGAGTGCTAGAGACAGACGGCAAACCTGGAATACAGAGGTCGCTCTGCAAGAGTGAGGAATGGCCATCCACTGGACCTCTCCACCTTGAGAACTAAATCCACATTCCTGACACAGATTAAACTCTCTCCCCCACGAAAAAACCCCAAAAACAAATAAATCCAGCTATTTCTTCTACAGCCTAAAATGGCAGAAATAAAGCAATTGTTTTAAAATAATTTTGTAGCTTTTAGAAGGGAGCCATATAAGTACAGTTAAGCCACATATAAGCCAAATAGATAAAGCATGAGACAGTCTAAGTATGAATAAAAAACACATCCTTCATTTGGAGCCACCTGCATCCCCCAGGGCAGTGCTACAGTTCCACCCCTGAAAGTTTAATGGGCATTTACACAATTATATCTTTCAGTTCAAGAAAGAATCAAGAATGGCTCAGCCACTGCCACATTTTTCAGCCCTTATGTTAGCTGTGAGATACAAAATACCTCCTTTCCACAGCCCAGCCTGCCAAGATGTTGTGCAAACTTTTGTCCTTCTTCAAATATTTTGAAAGGAAAAATATGTTACAATAAATTGGCTTTGAGTCTACATTCAAATGGCACTCTTGCTTAAAGCCAGCCAACATGCTACATCCTTTAATAGAATTCATCTGTTTTGTCTTTGCACAGATAATGCACACTCCCTGAACTCATGCTTTTGAGGTCCAGGGTAAAAAAGAATATAACTAGAACAAAAACAACAACAACAACAAAACCTTTTCTCCTGCAGCTGCCCGTTTTATTGTGGTTTTTATTTTCAGATAAGCTAGGCAGTTTCCGTTCATGGGGCACGTCCCCACGAGAACGCACGTGCAGTTTGCAGTGCTGCAGACCTGTCTGCGGCACCGCAAACTGTATGCACTACATATGCGGTAGTTTGCCACACTGCTAATTTGAAGACAATGTCCCAGTGTTAAAAAAAAACTGTGGCAAAAAAAATAAAAAGGGGGCATCATATAACGGTGGCAGCATAGGCCACCCAAAACTGGAGCCTGGCTGGCCAGAGCCACACTCTGGCTGCTGGCCAAGCTCCATGTGCTCACATTGCCGCTGCTGGAGGCCCCCAGGTAAGGCTCCTGGGCCCAGCCCAGGTGCTGCCCCCAGCCTCCCCTACCTTACCCAGGACAATTTGCCATGTGCACAGGGGCAAGTAGTAGTGGCACAACTATGTGCCGCTGCTATTTGTTCCCAGGGAAATGCATATGCACACTTGTCTAGACACAACCATGATGCCTATTAAATGATTAAAGAAAAAAGCCTGTTTATAACAGCAGTTGGCACAAAAAACATAGCTGTTTGGCAAAAAGGCACTGAAAGAACTATGTAAATCATGTGATTTTACCACTTTAATTTTCAGCATTTGGTGTCCTCTTTGCTGTCCTAAAATGAATTTATTAGGTGTTATTTGTCCTGCTTGTAGGGTTCTGATGGTGAGAGAAGGAAGAATACTTTCCTAATAAACCACAAGTTGTGTAGGGGTGAGTTGTGCTACCAGCAACCCTTACAGATCTGGTTCTGTTGGATCCAATTCTCCTCTCATGTACATCACTCTACATCAGGAGCCAAATGAATGACACCCATGTAAAATGGGTTAAAGTGAAATCAGATTTTATTAATCAAAATATTCATAGATTCATAAATTGTTTGGGGCTGGAAGGGACCTTGCAGATCATCGGGTACAGCCCACCCGATCTAGGCAGGAAGACAACTGGGGCTAGGTGACCCCAGAGAGGTGACTGTCCAGTCTCCTCTTGAAAACCTCCAGGGTAGTGTGGCGGTTGGGTGGCTTGCGGAGCTATGGCCAGTAGCTCGAAACGTCAGGTGGGTACTTTTGACCGATGGAGCGGAATTAGGCACTGAAACGTATTGGTTGAACTAGAGATTGTTTACTTACACCGTCGATGAACACAGTGCAGGTAGAGAAACTGGCTTAGGTTACGGTTACAAATGCGACGAGAGCTCTTTGACACGAACGAAACGAGACGTCAGTGAACGGCTTATCGAGCATGCAGGGACAGGGTATGTCAGGTAAGTCGGTGACGGGGAGTCGTTGGTGGGTGATCAGTCCGCCAAGTCTACTCCGAGGTGTATGCGGAGTTCTCCAACTTGGGTGGAAACTGCTTTAACTTTTATATGGTCAGTAAGCCAATTACTAGCCGCCAGGTAGGAATAATTTGGAACCAGCCAATTACTGGCGTGCGTTCAAACCATGCAGCCATTGGACTTGGTGGGATTTTCCCCTGTGCCGGAATTTTCCACCGTAGCGGATTTTTTCCACTGTGATGTAGCATTTAGTTACTAGGCTCTGACACAGCGGAATTTTCCACCACGATATGATGTGATGGCGGAATTTCCCCACTGTGGTATAGGCATCAAACCAATGGAATTTTCCACTGTGCCATAGGCATCAAATTACTGGGTTCTGACAGGTAGGTGACTGCACCACCTCTGGAGGGAGTTTATTCCACATTCTGGACACCCTGACTGCAAAGGAGTTTTTCCTGGTATTAAGTCTGAAGAGGCCTTTCAAAAGTTTGTATCCATTGCTCCTGGTCTTCCCCAGGAGTGCCCTAGTGAACCATTATTCACCGAGCTCCTGGTGCACTCCTCTGATATAGCGGTAAGCTGCTACCAGGTCCCCTCTCAACCTTCTTTAGGCTAAAGGGGTCCAGTTCCCTCAGTCTTTCCTTGCATGGCTTGTCTTGCAAGTCCCTGATCATATGGATGGCTCTTTTCCGGACCTTTTCAAGTTTTTCCACATCCTTCTTGAAGTGTGGCGCCCAGAATGGATTTTTAGCCCTAATACGATTTTTAACCTAAATATATGGTGACACAAATTCTGCCTGCTTTTCCTTTGGATTTATACTGATGTCCTTGAGAAGAGAACTTGGCCCTGCATTACATTATTTATTGTTAAACAAATAATGTCCACAATGTTTTACTGGAATTTTTTTCTTTATAACCAGATACTCAAATATACTGGGCCAAATTCAAATCTTAGTTCA